ATCCCATAGGAACCAGAGTAACGACTTCATTTAGAGGCAACGGTATGTAATGATATACCTTCCCAGAGCCGAAGGCACCAAAATCATTAATTGTATCTTACCGGATTCTGACGGCGGACGCTTGTCCATAGTGTGACACGGTCGATTGGCGTTCGTGTAACTGAGAAAATGCTCATTGCCCATAATGCTCGAACCTGATCGTAGAGATTGTCCAATACAGTATACATACAATATACGGGAGTCAGCCACAAAACATTGTAATTTTCTCTCGATATTTCGCAATATCGACATTGGGCAATAAAAGCCTACAGTACGTACGTGGAATACATGCTATACTCACGAGTGTTGCATCGAATGTAAGGAATCATGTCCCTGGGTTACCATGATGGTTCAAATTTCGCATCGAGCCGGGGTTCGAAGGTAAGGAGAATATGTGAACGAACAATCGGTCATGTAATTATCAGAATCGCAATTTCTTGCCCTTTCAAAAATTCGTATTTAAACTTCTTGAGTTTCTCGGGTATCATTCACGGAGTATCACACATTGAGGCAATACTATTATTACTCTCTAGCTTTTTACATCAAAGTGCCCAGAAGTTGAACTAATTGTATGGACTATTGCACTTCCCTTCTGAATTAATTTGGAATGGACGAGGCTAGGTTGTCCAAGTTTTTTGTTTGATTTTCAACTGTTACCATCTGTGATTAGTGTGCAGATAAACCTTACCATTTCAAGATATGGATGGGCCAAATGACCATTTTTGCTTCAAAATTACTGTTTTTACAGGGGCATAGCCAGACTCTAGAAGGGCAAACTAGTATGCGTGGGCTAAAAGCAGGTATATCTGTATATACAATTCGACTTCATTTCAACAGTTTTAGGAGTTGAAAAAACGTCAGAATAAATACAATGCCTCCTGTCTGGGTACACCCATCACATGAGTATACGATATGTAATTGTGAGTAATTCAATGATTTGAGTGAATCTTCGCTAAACAGTCCTGTGGCGATGTCAACGGTTGTTGTTGTTTTGAATTCGGATTACCCGTTTATTGCTTCAAGTCGACTTTTCAAGGCTAATTTGAAATCCATTATGCCTTGGAGTGAATCGCCGAATTGTTTTACAGACAAAAGTCTCGGTCACATTTGCTCTACGGCGGGCGCACGGCGGTTGTAGATTCCCCAGATCGAAAGAAAATTCAGCGTAAAATGATAAGCAGTACGATTTAGATTTTCTATGGATCGATTTGGTGAAGCTACGGCCGCCGTACACCCGCCGAAGTACAAATGTGACTGACGCTTTAAGAAGTTAGTAAAACGCTTTATATAATTATTATTACGCATTAAGGCATTTCCTTCAAAAAGGAAAATAGGACACAGGACAACGTATACTGTATAAATGACAACGGTATGTGTAGGTCGAATGTGATGTAAAATTGGAATTTTTTTATAAGTTATTGTTATTTATTTCCATATTATTCAACATAATTATTTACATAGATTGTGAAGGGCCGAGGCTATATAGCATTATTGGAATGACAACGGAAATATTTGCCAAAGGTATATATAAAGACAACGGTAAAGTGTATATTTACCGTTGTCATTTTCCTATGTTCCAATGCATATCGAAGACACTATATTGTGGCGATTTACAACCCCTTTTGATAGAAATTGGAATTTCACATAATACATCATCACAAGAGCTTAATACAGGGTGACCGGAAAAAAAGGAGACCATTGAAGTAATCAATTTCTCCTAAACTAGACAAGTGCCATCAATGAAATTTTGCATACACTGGAACAGTTATATGGAAATTTGTTACTGAAGGTTTCAATACAAGCATTCAACTGGTTCAGGAGCTATGATCATTTACATAACATGCTCCAAATAGGCACAATTGAGACCAACGCAGAGTTGGATTCATATGGCAAACTACCCTTACATGTTCTGCCCTCTATGGCATTATTATGGCATTACATATAGCAGTGATTGCCTTCTTTAGGTCAACAATAGTCTGAGGATTGTTTTGGTATAGATTGTCTTTCAAATATCCATACAAAAAGAAATCAGCAGGATTCAAGTCTAGGCTGTAATGGCAATGAAGGGTTATCTGACATGTGGTTCATCATCCTGTTGCCAAAGTGCTGATTTACCCAATCTTAAGAGTCACTTTAGGTATTGGGCATAGTGCCATGTTACTAAAACCACTATATGGCACAATTAAATCCCATATGGAAACCAAGGGCTGCCAAAAACCTCCTTAGGATGATACTGTAACTGAGTGGGACCACTGAGTCAGAAGCCATAGGTCAGATAAGCTTCGTCTCCATACACCTCAAATTTGAATCCACTTGATTTCTTTTTGTGGGGCAATTTGAAAGACAATGTGTACCAAAACAATCCTGAGACAATTGCTGACCTAAAGGTGGCAATAAATGCTAAATGTAATGCCATAACAAGGTCGGAATATGTAAGGGTATTTGCCAAATGTATCCAGCTCTGCGTTGGTCTCAATTGCGCCTATTTGGAGCATGTTATGTAAATGATCATAGCTCCTGAACCAGTTGACTGCTTGTATTGACACTCTCAGGAACAAATTTCCATAGGACTGTCCTGATGTATGCAAAATTTCATTGATGTCACTAGTCTATTTTAGGAGATATTGCCTATTTCAATGGTCTCCTTTTTTTCCGGTCACCCTGTACATGCACAGAATTAGCCACGATAAAGTCCGATGAACGAGGACCAAAAAAGAGTTGAAGCGACGGTTATGTCAGCCATTTGTGCCAACGGTATCTGACTTTTCTGTTGTCAGGGTATTCCGGTGTGCATATAATTAAAATCGAATTGGGACCGTTACGCAATTATGTCGTTATGAATGCACATGGTCCATTGAACAAAATGTGAAAAATTAGTGGGATTCTGATTATTGTTTCAAAATTTCAACGAACCGTATAAAAGTGTTACGTCTCACAACGTTTTTGACGATGTCGGGGTATGTTCAACTTTAAAGATATGGTTGGTCACATCAAACTTTTCAAGAAAAAATAGTATCACTGAAATGCGTATAAGAAAAACTTCAAAATGATGTATGAAACACATGGTTAGCTTTTTTAATAAGGCGGAGATTAAAGCTGGACTACGCTCCGAAACGCAATCTTGGGTTGTTTCGGGGGTGAACTTTATCATTTTGAGCTTAATGAAAGATTATAGAATGATGAACAAATGGGGCAAATCTTGTGTAGAAATACTTACGATAAATGTGTCATATCAAAGATTTTTCATTGAATTTGCTTCGATCGGTGCCGGCCAAGGAGGATTGGCTCCCAGGATCGAAACTCGATATTTTCCAACAATGAAAACGTCGAAATGTCGTTATTTTCTGAAATTAAAACCGACTATAAATTCAAAATAAACAGTTCAAAAGATTCGAACCAATATCTCGATCGTTTCTTGTGAGTTTTGGAATTTTTCGTTTGGAAATAAGACCAAAATTCACGATTTAAATGTTGAAGTGAACAAAATGGCGGCTGTTTGAATTCGAATTTTGTATTACGACATACCCATATATGGGACAGAATATCGGTGGTGCACTCTGGGAGCCAATCCTCCTTGGGTGCCGGCGATATGATTTTGGAAAGGTTTCTAAATGAAGAACGTGACGTCACTTCCGAATCATAGCATTCAAAATAAGTAGCGTTTAATTACTCCCTCCTTTCATAATAATACGTTGGTGTAGCGGGTAGAATCCTCGCTGAGCACGCGGGAGGCCCGGGTTCGAATCCCGCACTAGCCTTTTTATTTTTTTAACTAAATGATTGTTCTTTGATATTACGCAGAAAAAAACAATTTTTATTTACAAAAACTTTATATTAGAGCTTGAAAATGTAAAAACAATATATGTCAACATATTGCGTTTCGGAGCGTAGTCCAGCTTTAACGGTTAAAGGTCACATTAGCCCATATTTGATATTTCTCAAATTGTCCCCAGGTCCGTGCAAGTCAAAAGATCGATCTAGCTAAGTGTCAGTCCTCGAAAAAATCGGGGATATGCTATTAATCTGGTTATGTTTTAAAACTTACGTTCACCTGCCCATTTACTTGGTTATTGACCAGTCCGCATTTCCTCCGATTCATCGGCTGGCGCCCAGCCGTTTGAGTATTTTGTGCAAAATTGAAGGTCAAATCTCAGATTTTAGGTCAGATGGGAACTCCTGAGAACTTGTCTATGATTTAAAAAAAAGTTTGGTCAATTTGAAGCAAGTTGAAATCAGTTTTGAAAAAAATGCTGCACAGGGTAGAATCACATGTTTGTCACCGAATGGACGGATTAAACAAGAAAACAATAGAGTATAAAATATAAATAAATGACGTTTGAAAACACAGACACCAACTCGTATGACGCAATATTGCTAGGCGCGCCATTTGAGTACCGCACCCTGGTTTTTGGTCGCAAAGAAGAGATTAAAAAACATGCGCAATGGGCTACGATATACTACAGCTTAAATCAACATCGTCCGATAAATTATTCTTACACCATTCTATGAATGGATTGTAGTGAAACGGTGGTAAGTTTGAATGAAATATAGAATGGCATGTTGTTCTCACCTTCAATGTAGTTGCACTAAATATCACGTTAACATTACCCGCGGATTGCCATCGAAAAAAACAAGTTGTTATCGTCTGCTAGAAATATCGATCCGCAACTATGCTTCATAATGAGATTCGAGTTATATTACTCACGATTGTATTGTATCCAATGCGGCAAAAGGGGGATACACAGGAAGTTTTCAGTATAAACCGGCTATAAAAACAACTGCGACCACGAACGTTCGAGAATAGTTAGGCGTATGTATTTTAGATACTAAATTGCTGTTGAACAACCCAGGGAACAGCCAATTGGAGTCATATCCCCTTTCATATTAAATGGATTCTAAAATCTAAATGACCTTATAAGGTTATGAACCTAGAAGAGTGACAGTGATCTTAGTTGTCATACCTTGTTTAGGGTCGACTGGACCCTCCTCCTTTTCAGATATTGCTAAACTCTTCCTTCGTATACTAACATGAGGATGTTCTTGGTCTTTCTTCAGCCAAGCCGGGCTAAAATTCCATTCTTTTTGGAAAAAGTCCATGTACCCCATTTTTACGGGATAGATTCGACGTCACGTACGACGATTCTTACAAGAGCTGGAAAATCCGGAATGTATAGGTCCTACCCTGGCTATGGGTACAACTAAACAATCAATCTTATCCTTAGAAGATTATACACCTTGAGCTATCCTCTTCTAGCCATTTCCCGATCCAATAACAGGGTCAGATGCTGCAATCTTATTTTTGCGGTCATAAGGACGCGATAACTTGACTTTCATTTTCCCTCAAGGTCATTCGACACAGCTTCCGCCTGTTGCTATAGATACAGCAGACGCATATATATACCTACTGTCTAGGAATTAGTGCGCTGGAGCTTCCAATACTAGCATATGTATCTATCAACCGATGCGATTCTTCAACCTATATACTGTTTACTAGCTCACTTTAGTTATTGCGAATAGCAGGTTAATGATCAGGCTTTCTTGGGTCACCGCTAACAAAAGATGTGTATAAACAACACGATTTTCGAATGTAAACAAGAGTATGTTCGCCTGTAAAATGTATTGTGAAATGATTTAGTGACATTTTTTTTAAATTAAAATTTGAAACGACATTCAAAAGAGTATTTGAAGCATATTACTCTAGGGGCGAGGAGGGAAATTCTCAATAAATGGAGTATAGTTGGTTTGGCAGCATTTTCAGTTAGGGGAGAGTCTTGGATGAAATTTCCACCTAGGTGATAGCTTCACAGAGTGGTAGGAAGTTCTTTTTTTTGAAGAGTTAACCCCCTACCCCACAAAAACACCCCACCCCGGGGAAAAAAATTGTTCACACTAAATAACCTTAGATATTTTGATGTTTGTAAGTGACATACATAGATATTATATATATGAATCATTTGCAGTATAATTGATGCTGATTACTCCTAAAAAAATTGAATATTAGTACAAAGTGTGTACCCCAGGGGGCAAATTCGTGACCCATTTCCTTACTATTTTGATCCTAACTTTTCAACTAGACACTGTAAGAGGTTGAAAAAATTCATGTGAAGTGCCCAATAGCAGGGTTAGTAACCCTGAAAGATGTAAAGCTATGGAAGAGGTAGGAGCTGAGAAAAAAATTGTTGATTTTTCGAAAAAGTTGACATTTTTGACAGCTGGATTTTGTGTATGACTATAGCTGACCCCTATAGTTCCTGGATCCATCCCTCTATGATGATATATATGGTTTTATAGTGTGGAACTAAGATGTAAAACATAATTAAGATGGGTTTTAAGGAAATTTAAGGTTTTAAACAAGTCCAAAATTTGAAAAATTGTAAATATAAGGTTTCAAATTTACGAATTCCAGGTAGAGCCATGGCAGACCCCTATAGTTTCTAGATCCATCCCTCTATGGTGATACTTATGGTATTGCTGTATGGAACTAATATGTAAAACACAATTTAGATGGGTTTTAAGGAAGTTTAAGGTTTTAAACAAGTCCAAAATTTGAAAAATTGTGAATATAAGGATTCAAATTTACGAATTTCAGGTATAGCCATGGCTGACCCTTATGGTTGTTACATCCATACCTCTATGATTAAATATACAGTTTTAGAGTGTGGGACTAAGATTTAACATACCCAAAATGAATTTTAAGAAAGTTTAAGGTTTTAAACAAGTCAAAAATTTGAAGAATTGTAAATGTAAGTTTTCAAATTTATGAATTTCAGGTATAGCCAAAGATGACCCTTATGGTTTTTTACATCTATACCTCAGTGATGAGATATATATTTTTAGAGTATTTAACTAAAATGTAAAAGATGCATAAGATGAGTTTGCAATATTCTGGATTTTGAAGAAATATGAATGCATTCTCAATGAAAAATATTGATAAATATTAATAATATTTATACTGACCACCCAAAAAGCTTAATAGCATTCCAAAATCCAATTCAAAAGTTTTGATATCATAACAATTCAGTGTTAAACTGACAATATTTGAGCAATTTTGTAAGAAATATGTGATATTTGGTAAAAAAAAAAGTTCAAGTTTAACAGGTTGATTTTTCAAATATGAGTGTTCACTGTTCGAATTAAGAGGTGTTCAGATTTCAATTTTTAAACATAGGAGTCAATGGGAGGAAGGAAAAATTGAACTGGGGAAAAGTGTTCAGATTGGTTGGTTTTCAGATAAGTCAGGTGTTGGGATGATTGGTAGGTGTTCACAATAGTCAGATGTTGGGACATACAGGTTTCACTGCTGATATCATTTATACAAGATGATGAACTAGAACTACTGTACTAGGTGCCTTTGATAATTTTTACCACAATGTTATACTATGTCAGGAAAAGAAAGCACCCATGACACTGTGCTTGGACAACTTGAAAATCAACAACACTTTAACATTTGATAAAGGTGTCTACCAAATGAGTAATCCACATAAATTCAAATACAAGCACTTGGCATGCTATTCCCTATGATCATTAGTTTCATTAGTTTCTCTAGAATCTAAAATTGACCTTGGGTTTATGAGAGTAATAAATTGGAATGCAGTAATATGGAATATTGAATTGGCTGGAATTGGACACACCTTGCCTAGAAATGTGTGAGTAAACTATGATCTTATATGGATACAAACAGTTCGTTTGACAATGATCATCTATCTTATCCTGTAAAATCAGAACTTAAAAAGGGGTTTGAAATGGAGATCGATGAAACCATACCACAAATTGATAAAACTTTTGTGGTTGATGCAATGGCTATGACAAAGGGAAAATGAAGATTAACTTATATGTTGAAATTTGGAGAGTTTTGGAAAGCTATATTTGACTACTCCATCAAATCTAGTAAAGGAGCCCAAAGAATAGATTTCATATTAGACTCCTAGCTAGTTGTCTCCATCAGTAAAGGATTCTGAAAGAATGCGAAAAATGGATGCTTCCCCTGTTAAACTTTAATCCATAGAAGAAATTACACCATTACCTAAAAATATAAATACCTTTGTCCAAGTAATATAAGACAAATTTTCAAAGATTACAAAGAAATTCAATAAAGCAGCATTCTAAAAGTGTGCCAAATGTCAAGATTGTTTTAAGTGGAACTATTGGAGAGAACTCAAATATCTGTGATAATGATAACTGAAATCTCCTGTTAAATTCCACTCCTGAACTGGCTGATTTTAAAATTATTCACTCTGTTTTACATTCAGCAGAACATGTGGGACTGCAGTAATTTGCAACAAATGACACTGATATTATAATTTTATGACTATCATTTCAATAAATGAAAAAAAAATTCTTCAACTTTGCTAGAAAATGTCATCTGCAAAGCCAGTATGTAAACATTTTCTACAATGTCTGTTTGTTTGAAACATATTGATCATATCACCATATATACTTTTTTGATCTACATGAAGATTTTAATGTGACAAGACCCTTTTACCCTAGAGTTCCTTATATCATTGCACTAACGGAAGTTTCTAGGCCGGGGGGGGGGGGGGGTATCCTTATAATCCTTATTTTCCCAAATAATTACTGTTGCCTGATGACAAATTGTTTTATTGGGAGTGTAGTGATTATAATTTGATAATTCATAATAATTTTGTATAAGGAGATGATCATTGCTTAATTACAGAAGGGGCATAACAAAATATAGAGAAAACATGTTTCTTTTAATTTAACCATGTCTTTATGTATTTTGATAATGCAGAACATTACATCGAACATGTTGATGTGAAAAAGTAAAAATGCTATATCACATAATAAATATCATCAAATAATAATTAATTAGTTATAATCCATTTAATCAATCAATTACTACACTGTATACGATATCCCTAGGAGCAGTTACACTTACTGGGGGATTTATTAACCTCTCACCCCCTTAGGAACTCAAGGGTTAAGTCCTCAACTCTAATGATTTTTCTTTTAACAATACATGTAACACGGATCAAACCTGACCACAATATTTTCAACATCTAATTTCTAAGCTAAGTCATACATTCAAAAAGAGGGACATCCAGGGCTATACATGAAATCGTAAAGGAGGACTGAAAGTATCGCAACAGATTTCAGCAATCATATGTTGGATTTTGGCTATTTTCTGAGGATTTGAGGAGGTGCATATGTTAGGCCAATGCATTTCCTCCAGGAAAAGCACCCATAGAGATGATAAAATAATTTCTATTTTGAGACAGGGAAGGTGCAACCCACAACCCACCAACATGCATAAATATATATATGTATATGTATAAATATATGTGTATACAGTTAACCCCTTTAAATGAAAAATACATTCTATCTGGGATTTTAAAGATATCAAATATGGGTGACCAAAATTAAGCTGAAAGCAATGGATCACATGAGTTTTCCCTATGGGAAAATAACAGGAAAATATTGTTTTCCGCTTTATCTAAAAGGAATTTATCCTTTTAATGGTTAACTATGTCTCAAAACGCAACATATTGATGCAACAAAAATTGAAAAACCAGGGGTAAACGGGGTTGAAAATCAGGACGACATTTCCCCAAAAACATGTGGGTGGATTGTTTTCACCTTCGCTGTCTCAAATTCCAAACTATTTTATCATCTCTAAGAGTTCTTTTCCCGTAGGTAATGCAATGGCCTATCATATGCACCTGCTTAAATCCTCAGAAAACAGACAAAATCCAACATATGACTGTCTGAAATCTGTTGCGATACTTTCCGTGCTCCTTTGAGACCTGATATTTCTCAAATTTTCAAATATTGCACTTGTTAAAATACTTAAACGTCCTTAAAATTCATCTTAGGTATGTTTTACATCTTAGTTTCACACTCTAAAAGTATATGTTTCATCATAGAAGTATTGATGAAAAAGCCATAAGGGTCATCCATGGCTATACCTAAAATTCGTAAATTTGAAACCTTATATTTTCAATTTTTCAAATTTTGGACTTGTTTTAAATCATTAACTTCCTTAAAACCCATCTAAATTATGTTTTACATCTTTAGTTCCATACTACAAAACCATAAATATCATCAAAGAGGGATGGATCTAGAAACTATAGGGGTCAGCCATGGCTATAGCTGGAATTCGTAAATTTGAAACCTTACATTTACAATTTTTCGAATTTTGGACTTGTTTAAAACCTATAACTTCCTTAAAACCCATCTAATTTATGTTTTACATCTTAATTTCACACTATGAAAGCATAAATATCATCAAAGATGGATGGATCTAGAAACTATAGGGGTCAGCCATGGCTATACCTGAAATTCGTAAATTTGAAACCTTATATTTACAATTTTTCAAATTTTGGACTTGTTTAAAACCTTTAACTTCCTTAAAACCCATCTAAACTATGTTTTGCATCTTAGTTCCACACTATAAAACCATAAATATCATCATAGAGGGATGGATCTAGAAACTATAGGGGTCAGCTATAGTCATACACAAAATCCAGTTGTCAAAAATGTCCAATTTTTCGAAAAATTAACAATTTTTTTTTCAGCTCCTACTTCTTCCATGGCTTTGCATCTTTCAGGGTTACTAACCCAGCTATTGGGCACTTCACATGAATTTTTTC